AGGCTTTACAATTGTTAACAGTTATTGTTGATAGTGTTCGAAGTGAAGTTGATAAATGGAAACGTCTTTCACGACAAATTGTCGATGTACTTCTTGTTCATTTACAATCACATGCTACTATTGGTTCATCTAAGGTTGTTTTTTTTTTTTCGTTTAATAATCTTCGATTTAATGTTTCCCATTTTTGTTCAACATAGGGTCAAGCAATTTTGGATATTTATTCAACACAATTAACATTATTTGATGTTGTATCATCAGTTGCATTACGACCAATTGATCCATTTATTGTTGCTTTTCGAACATTAGCAAATAGACATGTTCGTTGTTTTTTTTTTCTTGTATAAAACATTTGTCTATACTTTAAAATTTTTAGGATATCAATCGTCAAACTATAAATCGATGGTTAATGAATATAAATATAATTCTTCGATGTCTTGTACAAAATTCAACTGAAGATGCTATATTGACACGATGGAATGATGCTTCATCATCAATTAATGAAACACGTGATGAAAGTTTTAGTGCGTAAGTATTCAAGATGATTTATTTATAATTTAAAAATTATAATTATAATTTTATTTTCTTACTTTTAGAGCTCTTCTTCGTATTTTACATGATATAATATTACGACTTTTAACTAATACCCGACAATTACGTGGTCAAATTGATATGACATTAGTTACTCTTGCATCCGATTATCTCTATTTACTTATGCATATCATGGAAAATGGTAACGAATTGAAATAATAGGACAGTTGTAAACATGAATATGAGAGTTATTCAAAAAAACAAACAATAGATTTTATGAGTCTTATTATAAGTTTCAAGGAAGTTAGCGAAAAAAATATTTCAGAGGAATGTTTATAGTACGATGAAAGGTATTATTAAAAATTAACAAAACTGTAAATGATCGCATTCGATCGTATATTAACATATTATAAACAATCAGTAGTGTTTTTTTTTGCCAACTATTTCATAATACGTGATAATTTATAGAAGTAGTAATCATCATATTGAGCATTTATAATAATTTACAGCATTTTTGAGTTCAAATCGTAGTCCTTCTAACGAACATCGGGATAATTGATTATTAAATCTCGATTTGAAACTTTGCATAAAATGGGATCTTAGTGAGAATAGCTTACTTTGAAAGTTTCATGTCTTTTAATTTGCTTCTATCCTGAAGTTAGAACATAAAATCTGACGACGTATATCAATGATGTAAATGACAAACTGTCTTACGTCAGAGGAAGCAGCATGACTTCTATGGTAAAAATCATTATAACCCCGTGAGGATATAAATCATGACTCGAAGTGGTTAAAAGTTGTCGGAAACCGTTTCTAAATCATAGAAAATCTCCAGTAATTAGATTAAAAGTAAAGCCCTGATTTCTAATGGTTTCTTGTGATTTTCCTTAATTTCTATAAGGATTTCCGATGGTTCCTATTGATTCGTGATGAACAGATAAAAACTGATTTCCAGTGATTTCTACCACTAAAAATCAAAGAAATCAGCTTGTTCTCCCTTGATCTTAGGTGAAAAGACTTGAAAATTTTCCAATAAACTATTCTCGCTTGAGCCTATCTCTATACAAAGTTTTAAATCGAAATTCGGAAACCATTTTCCCCGATGTTCCTGAAGAAAAGTACGGCATTGGATTCAAAAATAGCCTTAAAAAATGCATAATATTTTCAGCAATAAGCTCGAAATGTCCAAACTTTTTACTGGATATTCATAGTTCATTAGAGTCTACATGATACACATAGTTCTGATTTAAAAGGGATTAATCAATTAGAGACCCAACAATTGGTCGCAGATGCGCCGGTTCGAAGGAAGATCTTTTATGTACTCACTTTTGATGCTCTTTCAGGATACATTAAATTTAACATGTTATGAATTAGTTGCAAGATTTCTTTCGTGACTGTACTATTCTCTGATTAGTCATTGACGTAATTAGTGTGAAATCCTTGAATAAAAAAAAAATCTCAATTCATCAATGACTAATCGGCTAAGGAAAAACATTTCACTTTAAAATTTATATTCTCATTTATGAAGTCTACCATTTTTCCATTAAATATTCATTCGTTAATTTTATAAAACTATTTCAAAATTTATATTATTTTTATTTTTAGCTAAACAATTTCGAACAATTGTAAATGATTTTCGTCAATTATTAATTCATGATGAAACTGATGAAACAGTTCATCGTCTTGATACATTTTCATATTTAACTATATTAAGTGAATATTTTAAATTACTTTCATCATTTTATATACCATTATTATTACAATGGACACATATTCTTAATATGCTTGATTATACACAAGAAGCATGGTGGTCATCAATGTTATCAATATTAACACCATCATCATTAATAACACATTTATCAATAAGTGGTCAATTACAATCATATTGTGATTTAATATGTCGTCATGAATTATATGTTGAACATTTAACATCAATAATAACACATCATCAATTATTATATTTTTTATTTGAACAAAGTGATACATGTACACATGTACATAATTTATTTGGTCTTATACATCGTACATCTGTTGCAAGTCATTTATTTGTTGAATCAATATATACAAATTGGGATAATTTATTAAAACGAAATAAAATTTTATTATCATTAAAAATTCTTCGTACACTTGAAGGAATACATTTAGATGAAAGTGGTCTTTTATTAGTTTTATTAATTGAACAATTTCTTACATTACCATATATATCTATATTACGTTTAGCTGAATTAATTGTTTGTCGTCGTATTGAAATGATGTTAACACTTGATGAACAAACATTAAATAAACAATTATTACCGAAATATTTACCAGCAATTTTACAAATATTATCAACATCAAAAAATAATAATGATAATAATAATAATGATATGAAATCAAATGAACATCTTTGGGCACTTATACAACGTTTAATTAGTAAAATGAATTATACAACAACAATATCAATGGATATTATTCAACAAGATTTTAATAATCTTAATTGTAATGATGAAGATTTTATTCTTAATTGGATAAAAAAAGTTCATTGTCCAATGGATATAACACCGAAAATTTATGCTCAAATGCTTAAAATTGTAACTTATAAAAAATTATTACCATTTATGATGTCACCGGTATGTTTTAAATTTCATTTATAGAGATAAATTTAATCAATTAAAGAAAAAAAAAACAGAAGACTTAAGATATCAATGCATTTTTAAAACATGAGATTTTATTATGTTTATTCAATATTAGTAGATAAAACTTATGAGAATTTTAGAAAATATTCCAGCATAAAACTGTAGCTTTAATACTTGTTTCAATTTGGAAAAATTGATCTAGTACAAATTTGCTCATATATTAATCGATCTACTATAGTTATATATACAGAGGAACTAGTTTTAATGATATAGATAAGAGGTAAAAATGCAGAATTTTATTTAATGTCAATCCTAACGGAAAACATCTAAGATACATTAGTACAGTAGCCGAACTATTCGTCACGGATGTCGGTGTGAGAAGAAAATCTTTTATGTATCCATGTACACTAAAGATCGTCCAGTTCAAAACTTCTGGACTCGGACCCAACGGGCTCTAACCTACACGTACTCACTTTCGATGCTATTTCAGGATACTTTAGGATGTACAATGTTATGCGACGAATTGTCCTAGCACCAATTAGTACATAGTACTACGTATGAGGCTTACACATGTAACAATACTAGAGTCGTGTGAGATTAAGTTTTTTTTTTATATCTCAAATCTCATTAGTCACATTCCGAGTCCTTCTGTGTGTGCCATTACAACAAAAGAAATATGAAGATATCGTTTTGTCAAAGAAAACGACGTTCTTTTGATACTAGTAATAGAAAAAAAAAGTATTTATATAGAGGATTATTCGAGTATTAGCTTGTGTTATGATGTTAATTATTGAAAACGCAATACCGACTGATGAATATACCTGGATGCAGATAAAATAAACAATTTACTAATTATTAAATGAAGAAATTAATCTGAAGTATAACTGCTGTTTAAATATACTCTCACCTTCATCTACATATTGATTAGTGTACACAATAGGCTAATTAAATCCAATGATGTATCTAAGCTGGATCGGAAGTGAAATAATTGATGAAATCCTTGACTCCGAAAATCTTCAGTTTATTTTTTAAAAAATTCATCTATTTTCTTGAAATGACCTATCCAACCGAAAAAAAATCGAAATTAATTCAAGACTACCATAATTTTATCATGTGTTCATCGTTCATCTGTACCAGAGATGTCCATTGCAGCCAGAAATCTGCAGTTACCGAATGTTTAAACCAGCGCATCGCTGTCACTGTTACATCCATATTCGAGACATTTCTGAGTCTCGTTTTCTTCATCGCATAAAATTTTTATAATCATTCCTATAGAACTTTAGACAATATGTATAGAATAACACTCTGAAGTTCATTGCCATGTGTATTATTAGAGTACAAATAGAATTAATAATTAACTTCAGAAAAATTAGAAACAATATAAATTGTTGAATTTTTTCTATAATTGATTTTGTTTATGTTTTATCTATTAGTTATTTGATTTTTCTTTTTCCAAGGATTTCGTATGGTTATCAATGCCTCATTGTCTTATACTTGGTATTAATATTCCATCATTATGGCGTGCATCAACAAGTGCATTAATTAAAAAAATTAATGATCTATGTTTTTCATTACCAACACAACGTTTAATATCAAATGAAATAAATTTAAATGATGATGAATCAACACCTGATACAATTTATATAAAAAGTCTTTTATCATGTTCAAATAATCAACCATATTTAATTGCATTAATTGATTCAATATCAATTTATTTTGATACAATAGAAAATCATATTGAATTAACATGTCAATTTTCATCAGGTGATACACGTGATTTATTACGTTTTATAATATTTATAACAGAAATAATTTATATAAATATATTTCAAAAAAAATCTTTTCTTAGTTGGAATTTAATTGAAAGTTTTTTTCGTTGTTTAACTAAAACAATACATAATCCAACATCAATTATATATCAATTACTTAGTGCAACAGATCAAATAATATCATGTTGTACATTATCAAAAACAATACTTTCAATATTTGAATATCTTTTTCAACGACATGGTTTAATTATATCAAATAAACAACAAACAAATCAATTATTACAATCATATTTAAATTTAATTGAACCAGATAATCGACCATTTACACAATTGTTACTATTATCATTTAATGATCTTGATCGTCTTTATTATTTAACAAAAAAAATTAAATTTATACCATATTTTTATCGACATGATTTACGTCGAATAGCTATATTATTATTTCGTTTACCTATATTTAATTCATTTATACGTATACCAAAACAATTTTGGGAACAACATTATCAAGATATAAATAAATTACAATTTGGTTTAAATGATTATTGTTTATCAACATTTCCTGTTGATTTATTACAACATTCAGATATAATGGCTGATTATATTGAACGTATATCATTTGTTGGTTGGTTATCAAGAACACAATTTCAAGAAATATGGGTCTCATTTTTAGGTTCAATTAATCCACCAAATCAACATAATAATGAAAATGAACAAACAACAAATAATTTAACAAAAGAAGAAATTTTAGAAACAAATGCAACACAATGGTAAATAAAATAAAAAATATTTTAGTTTATTTAAATCAAGAATGAACAGACAAAAAAAAATTTCTTTCAGATTCCTTCTATTAATAAAAGACGAAATAACCTATTCGACATTTATTATGAATAATATATAGACTTGAGCGGGACCAACCATTTTTGATTCTGATCTCGGTCAAGTTTTCATCAAGATCGAACTTCAAGAAGCTTCCTTTTTTGTTTTTGAATAAACCTAGGCATGCTCAGACAAATCTCAAAAGTTGTCGTCAGGCTATATTATTTAATTTTCAACAAATGCTACCTCAATTCGGAGTTTTTTTAAATTAAAATACCTGATATTAGTGTATCCAGAGTAACTTAGCATAGATGTAACATATAAAAATTAGCTTTAGAAAAGTTCATTATTTCGAGATATACTTGTTTTAATTTTGTCAAATGACGTTGCTAACGAATGAATTTCCCCATATATCAACTTCTTTTATTAAGCATTTATTATTGATTGTATTTATAAAAATTCTCGATCGATATTTTTACATTCTTTATACATTGTATTTTAAATAAAGATTAGTTTAGATTCGAATAGAAACTTTCTAATGATTAATATTTCATTATTATATTAAGATAATAGAGAGATTTTATTTTGTTGGTTTTTTTCTTCTTCTTTTCATAGTGTATGGATTCGAGGTGTAACAACATTTTTATTAAATGCTCTTCGAATCAATTGTACAGGAAATCCAGCTGATATGACATTTGAACATCGATGCCGAAATAAATCTGTTCCATTTTTATTAGCTGATATTGGTAGTCAATATATGCAAACACGTTCAACATTAGAAACAAATTCAAGTGATTTATTTATAAATCTTGAACGATTAGGTTCACGTGATTTATTATCCTATGGGCAACTTTCATATGATACTATATTAACATCAATTCAAAGTAATAATACATTACCATTACCACCAAATGTAAGTTTAATATATGTTTTAATTATTGAGAAATGATGAAAAGATTGAACTTATGTCTTTGTCAATATTAAATAGAAATGTAAAAGGAAAAAAAAACATGTCGAAGCAGTTTTTAATTTGAAACATATTTACAAATGTTCGAATGAATTTATTACCTTAATTATACTCACGAATTCAAACTGTATTATACAGGGAAAGTCTAGATTTAAATGAAAGATAAATTCAAGAAAATATCATTACAAAAATTATTAATTTCATCAAAATGAAAAATCTATCATTTATCTAGCTTTGGTTTTTTTTTTTTGAAATATAATAGAAGCAAAATATCCTATTTGATATAGATAAAAGACGAACAGATAAATGCTACTAAAAAAATACATCTCATACATATAACAATCTGATCAAGAATTTTAATTATATCCGTAATTTTAAATAAATTCTAAAACATCAGGAACAATTCCTATCAATCAGAAAGTTATTTCAATAATATTCTTATAAAAGATCCTAATATAAATTGTCATCCTTATAAAAAATATATATAATTTTAGAGTTTATTCGATCGTTTATTTTCTCGTCATGGTCTTGATTTAACTTCTTCATTACAAATTTTAATTGAACTTTATGTTCGTTGGTTAACAACAAATTCAAATAATTTATGTCTTCAATTAAAATATGAACTTATACGTTCATTTATATATCTTTCTGATTTATTTACATCATCTCAACAATTATCAAGTTTATATGATTTATGTGATGATTATATTCGTACATGGTTTGATGAAGATGATTTAATGATATCATTAATAAGTTATGGTTTATGTAAATCTGGTATACTTCTTGGACAAACAACAAAAGAATATAATGAATTATATATACGTTTAATTGAACGTAATTTTAAATTAATAACAAAAACTCATGCATATGCATCATGTTTATTTTTACTTGAAAGTCGTGAAGATGATTTAAATAAATTTCTAATACCAATATTAATACAAGAATTAACTAATGATATACAAAATAATTCATTAAAATATAATTTAGATATACGTTTAATTGGTTTTATTTTAGCAAATTTATTTTATTTAATTGAAAATAATTTATTAAATTCTTATGATATTTTATTATCATTATTTAAAGATGATATATTAGATATAAATGATAATTTAACACAAAAAATTATATCAATTGGTCTTGAAAGACTTTTAATGCTTGGACAATATCCTAAAAATGATATATGGCGTTTATATAAACGTTCAATAACAATATTACGTCAATCATCATGGTTAAATATTGATCATCTTGTTTTAATACTTGCACGTATATATACATTATTACAACGAACAAATGAAAATACAAATCAATCAAATAATGAACATACAAATGAAGAACAAGAAATGGTTGATGGTTCATCAATAACATCATCATCAGATAATATACTTATTGAACTTGTTGGAGAATTATATGAACGTACAAAACAATCATCAACATTACCATATGAAGCATTACTTTTACTTCGTCCATTACCATTATTACTTGCACATATTGGTTTATCGGATCGTTTAATGAATAAAATGGTTTTAGAATTTGCTGCATCAACACAACAATTATATCCTCAAATACTTGCCTATACTGTTTTTGCTGTTTTTCGTGCTTTAATTAATGCACATTATTCAGCTAAAGTTAATGAATGGACATTATTATCAATGACAAGTATTGCACAAAGAAAACCAATACGTATGGCTATATGGGGATTAACTTGTCTTATGTTAAGTGCATGTCCATCACATACAATTGCTGATGCCTTGTAAGTATTTTGCTTAAAACATTATGTTATTTTATGAATATTTAAATTTATTATATTATTCTTGATGGTTTTTTTTTCTTATTTCTTTATATTAAATTTTAAAGAAAACAAAAAAATTTTGATTTGAAATTAGTCGTATTTGAGCTGTTGAATGAGCTGTTTTTTTTTACGTATGGTGAAGTGTTCTTCTTAGTTTTCTTTTTAAAAAATTTTATTAAGACTTACACGTATGATTTAAGTTTATTTGGAAAAGAAAAGTAGGAGGACATTTATGAAAAGAAAATATTTTCATGTTCGAGTGTTATGAATTCACTTATTATACTTAACAATGCATGATAGTCATGTCCATCACTGTGAGTACATAAAAACCTATGTAATGTTCTTGAGTCTCATCATAAAATTAATAAATTTCACTAAATTTAATTTTTTTCTCAGAGAATTCAAAAGATAATATCTCAAGACCATACGTGTACGCTAAGTTTTCTATTATCATATGAAATATCTCAATGACTTCTCATCGATAATACGATACATCTTTTGCTTTCTTTAGGTTTCCATTGACATTATCACGTTTCAGCGCTCGTTTTGAAGAATTAGACAATCGTTTATTTCTTCTTGCTGGTCGAGAATATTATTTACAGGTATTATAAAATAGAAAAAAAGAAAATTAAAAAATATTATTTGTAATAAAAAAAAAAAAAAAAAAAACTATTTTACTTATTTTAGTTAACGAATATTGAACAACGACGTCAATTTGAACAAGCATTCACAAATGAATCGAATACAGAAAAATTATATGCTGATTTACTTGCACATATTCAAGATACGATCTTACCATCATCTTGATCCTTCGTAATTTTGTCCGTCCTTATTTCGGATCCGGTGATTTCCACATTTACAAAAATAATCAATATTTATTAGACGTCAAATTACTTGTTTTTTTTTCTCTTTCTGGCCTATCAATAGAACTTTTCCTGCTAGAAGTCTTTGCATGTCTGTGTGTGTGTGTACCTTTTTTTTTCGATTAGTAGATCAACAGTGATTGCACATTATGTTTGCTTCCACATTTATTTCCTTTTCTTCTTTATTGTTGTTGCTGTTGTTATTATTATTGATGTTTATTATCTGTTATGTAACGCAAGCAAATCATTCCGTCGATTAAAAGAAAGTCTTAATTTAAATTTATTAAATTTATCTTGATAATCAAGAAAAAATGAAATTTAATTAGCTGAGAAATGTTATCTGTTTTAAATAAATAATCTATAAGACAATTCTATACCACATTGTGTGTATAAAATATAATACGAACATCTCTGCAACACTACTCATATGATAATCGTTGAAGATTATGTTTCAAAAGAGAGGTGAATTTATGAATAAAGCTTTTGAAGAATATCAATAAGTTTAACATATTTATTTCATATTGTTACATCTTTTTTTTTGTTTAATACTAATAAATGAATTTTTATACACATGAACAAGAAAGTATAATATTTATTATTTTCTTAGACAACAACTATATTTTTATTTATAAAGTTAACAAAAAAAGAAAATAAAGTAACAAGACAATAAGAATAATATTATGCATAGATTAACACATAATTTAGAATTACTTGAATAGAAAAATGTTTTTTTTTAAATGATACACTAGGTGTTTAACTTGAATTATTAGTGTTCAATAGGTACTTCCTGTAAATATAATTTTGAATTCACAAAAAAGGACCAACATCATTATTAATTGATATTTCTCAGATAGCAAATGTGTAATAACAATTACATTGAACGTCATTTTGAGTAACTTCCATTGCTGAATCAATTGATTTAACTATTTCAGTCTAAAAAACAGAAACAAAAAAATTCATTAAAATTTTTCATAATAATTATTATTCAGACTTTTCTCCAATCGGATCATGTTGCTGCTATACCTTGTTGATATTTATAGACTTCATATTCTCGTATAGATTTCATTGATGTTAAAGTTACCATCCAAATCAATCGAATGATTGTATTATTATGTGCTATCACTAATAGAGATCGAGCTATAATATTGTCACATGGATTATGTTCAGATAATGGAGGTAAAACTAATGTCTAAAATTATAATATTTAATCGATCAAATTGATTTAGACTTAGACTCGACACTTTCGATAAAATAGAAATCAAATCAAACCACAGATAGAATAAATTTCACTTATTTACGTGTCCAAATGGACCACGTGCTAATGTTGTTCTTATTAAGGCCGTTCGTGTTTGAGTTTGTGCATCAAGTTGATTTAATTTAACTGTCTGTTGTGCTTGATCTCTGTTTTTCTTAGTTCTTGGCTGAGGTACAAAATTTACTAATATTTTATATTGGTGTTTGAATGTTGGTGAAACATGGCAATCAAATAATGCATCATTTGGTTCTTGTTGTTGTTATTATTAAATCAGTTTGTACTAGTAGCGGAGCCAAGGGATGGCTAAGAAGTGCTTAGTCCCCCTCCTCCCAGGAAAATTTTTGAAGCATATATTTTATTCGCGAAGCAAGGCTCAAAGGTTCCTAAGAAGGGGCTGAGCCCCTTCAGTTCCCTTCAGCCCAAAATCCTCGCTCCGTCACTGGTTTGTACTTGTGCATCGTGTTGTATTATTGCGATCGTTTGTTGTTCTCGATTCATTTTATTTATTAATTTTTTCCACAATGACGTTTCAACAATGGTGAACGATTATTATCATTTAATATTTCTTGTTCTGAATTAATTTTTGCAATATTTTGTTCTTTTTTATCAAAATCGCGCGAGGTGGTGCTAAGCCTGACGATATATTACATATAGAAGAATAATCGGTAAAAATTTCAGATCAATTGGACTTAATCTCTTTATACGGTTAGCAAAGTATGGAATAACCAATTTTCGAAGCTATATCTAGCAAAAACCCCAATTCTTTTTTCTGAAAAAATGCTTATTGTTAAACATGAGTCGATGCAACTCGACGAGCTGATTCCGAATATCACCTTGATTTTGCACCCAAATGATGCCTTGTTTCCAAAAATAGAGATTTAGAGACAAAAACCTCAGGTTTTGGAAGACAATAGCACCGACTGTGCTCATCAGTGCGAAATGGCGCTATTATCAACGATGAACTAGACGTGGAAGAGTACTTAGTGAAAGTATGTGATCAATTGGACGAAAATTCTTTTGAAGGTTTACAAAATACGAAAAGACTGGTTTTAATAACCTTGTTGGACATAGGAACGACTTTTTTTTCAAGAAACATTTATTGTTATATATGATTCGATGCAGCTCGACGAGATGATTCCGAATATCACTTTGGTTTTGCATAAAAATACCTCCGTATTCGCAAAACTAACGATTTCGGGGCAGAAGCCTAGTTTTTTAAGAAACCACTAGCACCGTTTCTGTTTCCTGGTACGACACGATGCTATGGCCAACAATAAATCATATATAGGAGAATAATTGGTGAAAGTTTCAGCTCAATCGGATTAAAAACCTTTTGGGAGTTCACAAAATACGGCATGACCGACTTTTGTACCTACTTTTGGCCCAGTAATCGCTTTTATTCTACTCCATTTCTTGATCGATGGAAATCATTTTTCCATACAGTGAAGCTTATGGGTCAGTCATTCGTTTGAGATAGTTTTTCATTTTAAAATATTTTAATAAGTTAATAACAAAAATCTTCTCCGTATAGTTAACGATTTATGAACAAATTTTTTGACCATGGACTTTTCCAGGGTTTGACTTGATTTCTGGAAATCTAATTTTAGGGTATGATAGACTAACCATAGATGTATTCATTCCAATATTTGAACTTTGGAAAATAGAACTTTCGGTCATGTCCGCCTGGTTGTCCACTGTGCCTTGGATACAAAGTTCGAATTCAAAAGCGATCTTGCTATTGAAAACGGTCGCTCGTAAGAGAAAACAGACGGGTTTCTTTTACATAGTTTATTTAATTTACTAAAGTATTATAATCTGCTACGCAGTTGTCAAGAAAATTTCTCTATAGAATACCATAATGGAAGAATAAAATTTAAGAGGGAAGAGAGGCGGTAGAAATCCTCCAGTTTCTCTTCCGTTTCCTCCATCCTCCTCTTCCCAATGATTGTATGACCTGCAAGCTTCAACTGAGAATATATTATACTGTAAAAAAACTAATACAAAGAATTGTTTTTACTAAGTACCAACTCAGCTAAACATAATTGTCTTTGGCCCATCAAGTTCATAGATGACGTGTAAATACTTTCAACAGAGAAAGAAAATCTTTTTCTATTTGAAAAAAAAAAACAATGTTTTATTAACAAGATAGAAATTCTATTTGACAAAAAATAGATCGTAATTGATAGATAATACCCAACCATTAAATGGTTCATTGATTTTTTTGAATCGATCAAATTGCATTTCATTAACATATATTATGAAAAAAAGGACAAGATCCATTTATTATAACGTAATGATATAGACATTCCTTGATTAGTATTCATTTGTGTATGTTAGCAAATATTTCAATATGTAAAAATTCGTATAATTCTTTTATATGAATTATTTAAATGCAAGTTAATTGTACAGAAGATGCAACATGAGACACAACGACACATAATTAATGATGAAATAATTGTCGACATATGAATAATGAAGATGAAACGTGTAGTAGATAATGTATTTTCGCTCTTTAGAAATACGAATATCAACAAGCGAAATAGAATGAATAATATTTGAATAAGTATCTTTTTTCTAACATAATGGATACAATTAACAAATAAACAAAGCTTAGTGGCCGAATTCGTTGTTATCGATAAAAATGTCTTAATAAGACATTTGTCTCTATCTTAAAGAGGTATCAATCAAACTCGATGCAGAACAATACACGAATACAAACCAGTGATGGATCACAAAATGAAATAATCATATCACTGAACCAATATCTAGGTAATAAATTCCATATTATTATGAAAATATATTGAAATATTTTTCTAACATACATGGGAAATCTTATTTAATTAGATACGATTCTCACGTAGATTAATTGAAATAATGGAGTCTGAAATATTCTATCGCTAAGATCTGACACAAGAAAAAAAGAAGTGTGATAGGAATAGGAGATATCAAATAATTTATTAGAAAATGAAAATGAATAATGAATTATTAACAGAAAGGAGATGATACAATATATCTTTATGCTAATTTTATAAATTAAGATAAAACAATAGATGCTAATTGCTCATAAAAATTAAAATTTCGAAATTATTCTTTCTTTTTAGAAAGATATGTTGTTATATTTTATTGCTATTGATCAAATTTGAATATTAATAAATTCATCACGCTTACTTTTTCACATATGTTGACTGTCTCGCATTGTTTGAAATAAAAATCAAATACCAAATATAATGTTATCACTTCAAGCATTCATTATTATCAAATGTTGAGAACAGATTAACATACCCATTGTATACTTAACATGTGTCTGTTTACTTTCATCAAATAAGGGATTCAAATAGAAAGAAAAGCTCAGCGCAGAATAGTTAATTTACTTTTTCAAATGAACTCGTACAAAAAAAAGAGCTTTTAAAGTTTTCGAGAAAATTTTCTCTGAAAATTAATACTTTGCATAGATTTACGAGTAATGACCAATATATGTATATTGATTGAAAGCATGGACAGCGCAAAGTCTATTTTATGCCGAATAGTAAGTTCACTTTTATTAGTAACAAATAGTAAAGAAGATCAGCCATTGTGTTTCGCCCATTAAATATTGGTTAACTGGACTTCAACTCTTTTGATCAAAGTCATTAAGTATCATATTGTCAGTGTTAGACAGATGGAAGTTGATTTACGATCATGTTATTAGCCCTGGTTCAACAGTAAATTTTCAAGATTGCTTATAGTGATAGGAGAAAGTGCAAAATAACCAAAATGTAGATGATGCTTTACTTAAATAATCGCGTGTCGGATATCTATGCAGAGAATTGTATTCACCAGGATAACAATAAATAAAATCATGAGAGTATGAGTCAATCCTCCTACATGAACTAGAGAGTCGTATTGAGTATATACGTATATATATATATTGGATTAAGTAATCTTACTCTAGTATAAACAGGAGGCGTAAAATATCCTGGGAAGCAAAAAGTTCCTTTTTGGTTCCCCGAATTCCTCTTAGTGGAAGAAATTACTATCGCTTGTACTGCTGCTGCGTCGTTCACGTTTAAAACATCACGAAACTCACATCGAAGTTCATTCTATCTATTATTTTACATAAATCAATTATTTTTGTTAACATTAGGATTTTTAATAAATTAATATTCCGATGGCAAAATAATTCTAAACAATTCATTATACTGGAATTTAACTTCATAAAAAAGGAATGTTTCAACACGTTCTAATGTGCGATTATTCAAAAGCTAAAATTCAATATTACTCTGATGATATAGTATTTGAATGTCAAAAATATAATGATATCAACTTCAATAGAATTGAAGCATATCTCTATTTTAATTTCTAATATATATGAAAATCATTTTTTTTTTTACTCATTCGATTTTAATAGTCATCAGTAGGGCTAATTGAATACAAAACTTTTGGATCCATACACGAACTATACTCTTAATTTCAACGAAATATTTTTAGTATGAAGCTTCAATTCGCTTTGAAGCTACGAGATACTTTTTATTGATTATTTGTATTCTACTACGAACACATTTATTAAACAATCTTGACGATGATCTTATAAAACTCAAGATATTATTGGCTGTTACTTTTAAAGTATGAGCTGTTTTGTTGGTTCCGAATCTAGTTGAAAGGAAATTTTCAGAATCGAGACCAATTTAATGGACTCTAGCCATGAGCAAAAGAATTAGTTTATTTTTGTACAAGTAAACCGTGTTCATATCTAGCTTTTAATCTTACCAAACATTATCATACTCAATGATTTACAATAAATCAAAAAAAAAAAAAAAATGATTCGTCCATCTCGTCTTTTTTATTTTATCGAGCAGGAAAAGTGTCGAAATCGATCAACAATTAATGTTTTTTTTTTTTCATCTTGATGATTCTTAACAAGTTTTATTGAGTAAATCATATGTAAATTTAAGATTCAATTCATTTTATACTTGTAAAAAAACAATCCACGAACTAATTATAAGTAGACGAATGATTTATCAAGTCATTCGACTTATGAATAGTTCGTTCGTTTAATCGTCTTCTAATTATTTCTTATTTTAAAAATAAAAAAGAAACAAAAATTTATTGCGGACATGATGATTTACATTATACGAAGGGACAGTTCGCGCTCATATGTATGAAACATACGATTACGAAGATACTGATCAATACATGACAACCAGATAATTTTAGTGTTTATAAAAGAAAGATATACTCATGTATACATTATTCACAGCACACATTTTTCGATATCTATCGATCAAATCAAATTTTAGAGGGTTGAACGAAAAGAACAATATAACTACAAAAAAGAAAAAAATGAGACGATTGTCCAGTATACTATCGTGGACACAAACTTTCTTTGTATGATATTGAATATGTAAACTTGTATTATTTTTAAAATTCAAGTAACAGACAGATATGTTTATTCAACGTTTGAATATTCGTAAGTGATCTTTTTTTTTTTTGCTTACTAACTATTATGTTTAGTAATTTTT